CGATTTCCTATAAAGATCTCAACCTAGCTTTCCACCTCCATTATTAACAAGAGGATAAACAGTTAATGCTTCTTATTGCATTGTCAATTTAATAATGTAATCATGCAGTATAGGTGAAAATAAGAAGCGATTTAAGCCTGCCCTAAGATACAAGCAGATTGACCTCGCTTTCGCAACTTAGTAATGTAGTCAGGATGACCTAGAATAACGCACCTGGCCCGAAATCCTCTGCTACAGAAATTATTATATGTCCTGGTGCCGAATCGTGGACCTATATATTGCCAATAATGCGTAAAATCAAAGAATTTACCGTCAAAGGTGAAATAAGTAGTGTTCTTTGATGGATTAAGAAATCTTAAAATGGAGGCTATAAATAAATGTATTCATTCCAGAATCTCTGAGTGTCCTCCATGGTAAATGCTAAAGTTTGAATGAAGCTCGAACAAATATTTTCTATATAAATAGATACAGCAAAAAACTTAATAATACATCTTCCTTCGAATTAATTTGTTACTCCAGAAATTTTACAAATGCAATACATATGAATTAAGTATGAAAATGAAGGGCCAAACATTTCTATAATGTTGGTTCGACCTTTTTTTGCAACTTGGTCGGAGCAACTTCATATTTACGACCAAACGATTATATGTTTGAATATATATGTATTTTTAAGTATTTATGAGTCCCGAATATAAATAGCATTTAAGATAGAGCCGGTTAGTTTTCTTGATTAAGTATTACCTTTAAATATTTATAAGAATGAGATCAAGCCTTGAAGATCGCTGTCGTTTTACGTACAGAAGCTTAATCCGTTTTCACCTGAACTGAGAGAATAAGTCTATTAGATTACATCAACCTAAGCATCAGACTAAAGTCACAAGGCTACAAATCAAAATTATTCAATTTCATCTGGTGAGATTGACTTTCAATTATTTGATCAGGCTATTTCACACGGAATGAGATTACTCAGGTGGTTTATTGAAACGTAGTTACACTTACTATGTAAAAAAGTATACAGTAAATTGACCATTTATGGTCATGAGAAAATATATTCTCGGATTGTAGGACAGAATAAAAGTGAATAAAAACGAATATAATTCAGACTATCACATGAGGGCAGAAGAGTAATTTAATAATGTTCAAAATTATTACTAAATTTATATTAAGGTGATCTCCACCATTAGTTGCTCTAATTCGCCAAAGTCATATCATTTGGTTTCCCTAGCTAAAGTAAAATATAACATAAGCTTGGATATAGTAAATTTATTTGTAAAATACTTGTTTACATACCACTGCTTTTTAAGTATCTTTGTATGAATTGCTGAAACACCATTAACGACATGTGAAGAGATGATGCACAAAAAGGCTGTGTTTATGCGCTTATCGGGTTCCTCCTCAACTATTGACATCCGACGCTGCCGATTAAGGTCGTTAGGATAATGGCGATTCAGTAGCTATAAAAAAAGGCCAAATAAAAAATTTAAAGGAATCTGAAGTGGATACTTCCCTAATTAATATATGTGTGATTGACCAAACTTTTAGTTTTGTTTATTTAGCTAAGCATTTTTTTTCTTTATTCATAAAAAGGGTGATTCACAGAATAGCAAAGATATTATTAAAATACTGAATATAAAGGTAAAAAGACCACATTTAATTCATTTATATATTTATGCATAAACACAATATATAAAATAAATTAAAGAATCAAGATGACAGGCAACTAAACACTATTTTTTAATTAACATACAATGAATTGAGAGTGAACTCCAGAGTTCACGTATTTAGATACTAGTAAAATGTCAAATATATAATTATTACTTTTCTAATAAAATAAAAAATTCTTATTCTCGTTGTCCCAAATCATGTATGTAGCATGCTCAGAATTAGGTCAAGAATAAATCCAAATGAAAATGCACATTTAACAATCATTAAATATTAATCATTAGCTAAGATTTATTAGAATAGTTCTATATTTTGATACTTACCTCTAAGAAATCTTGATTTAACTTGAAAATTATTTCCAAGTGTCTAGGAAGAACTTGTGCGAGCATCTGAACTGGCCATCGTTCAAGAGCCTCGGGTAAGATAGTGTGGTTTGTGTAGGAGAAGACACGGACACAGAGATCCCAGGCCTATGAAAAAAACAGATAAAATAGTAAAATAATTCTTGTACAACTCAAGCAAGCATCATAATTATACTTTAGGCTAGAAATGGTAACTATTTATGAATCAGCAAATTTAATCTATCTTTAATTGATTTGAATTCGTTTTCGCAACTAGGATACGGTGTCAGGAAGACATCGAGAATCGAACTTAATCCTTGTCTACATAAGTAGTTATGATCATTTCCCGACGCCACTTTGCCACGAGTCCCCTTGAGTCACAGGAAAGAAGGGAATTTTAAGAAATGCAAGGCATTTTTACATATCACATGCTCTAGTATTCGACTATATTACATATTTCTCGTTTCATAAGTAGGTTTTTGAGACCACAATTAAGTCTGATATAAGAACTGTATTCATACTAGTACGTTCAAGGGGTCTCTAATATTTCTATGTTATAATCTTTTTATATAAATTCTTATATGGAAAACAAAACTAGCAAGATCAATTTACTTGGGATTATCTGATTTAAATAGCCTTTTAGAATTATTTTTACCTTGTACCAATCGAGCCCTTCCACGTCAACGAGAATGCGCATTAATTCTGGTATCGCCATTGAGGGATGTGTATCATTCAACTGGATTGCAACCTTGTCTGGCAGTTGTGAGAAATCGGTTCTCTTTGGCCCACGTTCATCATAGATCTTATAGCGTCGAAGTATGTCTTGGATGGTGGCTGAAACGAGTAGATACTCCTGCTTTAGTCTTAGCTTTTTACCCTCAAAGCAATTGTCATTTGGATAAAGCACGCGAGAAATGTTTTCCGCCAGATTGCGTTCACAAACAGCCTGTACAAAAAAATGCAGATTTGTATGTTTGTTATGATTAAACAAATTCAAAAATACAAAGCAGAGATATATGCTAAGATGACTTATTTTTAAAAATAGATATGGAATATTCGTCACAATCAAAGAAGAAATATCAAGCAAGAAAACGCCTTCTTACGCTAACTAATCATCAAATACAGCTGAATTCGATTAGGTTTATAAAATTTGACACAAGTGCATGTTGAACAATATTAAAACTGCCTCAGTATAATAATAAAAATATACATGATTTATCTAGATGTACTCATTAAAAGACTTATAGATTTGCAGTCAAATATCATGAAAATGAAATTTCACTGGGAAAATTATTCACTGAATATAAAAACTATCCTTGAGTTTAGATCGAGAGAACGTATTTAAATAAAAACTAATATTTAATAAGCTTCGATGCGATGACATTAAAAACACCAGAAATTATTATTTGTAAATAAACAGTGTAATAATTTCCTAAAGATTTTTTTCTGTACAATGCATAAAATATTGACGTATTGACATTGTAATTTCCATTTTTTATGCTACCCGACAGAGTTATTGAGGAAAAATAAATATATAGGGAAGTGATTTTATTGTGAGCTTATCTACCAGTACAGCACGAAAGAAAGAGCTTACGTGGATGTAGTCACCAGTATTAAAAATTTTCAGGTCAAACTTGTTTGAGGCTCGGCAGGACCAGAGTCTAAGGGTATTGCAAATGTTATTGCCATAGCCTGGCACAGGGGTGTCATGTGCTACAGCATACACGCGTTGAGTATCAAGCCATGATCGGTGACCATTCTCATCAACTTCAACGCGACCAAAGAAGTCAACTGGAAAGCAGACTTCATGACGCACACGCTCCCAGGGATTGCCACGGGATAGCCAGTCATCAGGTTTCTCAATCTATTGATACCCCCAATGCAGGACAGTAGGGAACGGCATGGGAAAGTATATAGTTTATTTAGTTATCTGATAGGATAACAAGACACTTAGTTAAAAAGCAACTCAATTCACTTTAGCGAGGTTTTATAGTGAGAATCATAAATCTCTTATACATAACTATACTTATATTATCAAAGTAATTGCCAAAGGTCTTTCTATAGAAAGTAAGCATGGATAATATTCATTTGTATATTTTTTGTAGTAAAAAATCTTATTACTGCGTTTTATTAATGCTATCTTTGTCATATATATGTAATAAAGGTAATAGCAAGAAAAGCTGTAGACATATATGTAAATATACATATAGAACTTTGCGAAAAACTAGTTGCTTATTTTTCTGTTTTTTCAAGTAAAGGTAAAACATTCTGAAATTAAGTTAATGTAGTCACAGTGGAGAAGCAAGAATATAATGATCAATATTAATCAATATAAAGCATATAGAAGGCAAATGAGAGAAAGATATCATTTTGACAGTATTTCTTCAACACTACTCCGGATTATTGAAAGTCCTGAGTAAACTAGTTGCAAATAGGACTCTCAACCTAGAAGTGAAAATTATATATCACTGCGTTATGACTTTATCTC